CCCCCGGGCCCCGTTCCCCGGCTTTCCGCCGGCCGCCCCCTTGGCCCCTCGCCCCGGGCGCACCCGCATCAAGGGGCACACGGCTCCGCGCCCCCTCGCCGAAAGATCCCCGATGGTATGTGTGTTGGCCACTGGCATGCACGAGCCCCGCGAGGGAGGCCCGAGCCCCGGGATGTCAACTGCCCATGTCTCCGGGAGAGAGCCCTCCCAGGGGGCGGCCTTTTGGGCGCTGCCAGGGGGGAATTGCCCGGGGAGCGATCGCCACACACGCGCGCGAGGGCCCACGACAACCCCCGTCCCATCCATATGGGCGCGCTTGCTGGGCTACCAGCGCTCTCCTGACCCCCCGTCTCTCTCTCTCTCTCTTTCACTTTCTCGCTGTCTCGCTGTCCCGCTCTGTCGCTTGAGTGCGCGCGCCCCGCCGTCCGCGGTCCGGGAATAACTGGTGCCTGCGTCCGGGCCCGGAGGCCCCTCGCCCAATGTGAGCCACTTTCGAACAGCGCCAATGGGTATGCCTTCTGGCGGAAGGGCGGCCGAGCACGGAGAGAAGAGGGCCCACGGCGGGGACAATGATTGCGGCCGAACGCCGTGGGGCTGGGGAAAATGCCCGCGCGGCCGGCCGCGCGGCCTGCCGAGGGCACTACCGAAGGTCCCCTGGAGAATGCTCATTAATACGCACCATCCCCCCCCCGGCGAGCAGGCGCGGCTGGTTTCGGCCAAGCGCCCCGATCCAGAATGACAGAGAGAGGATTCTACAAAAACCAATGCATCACATCGCCAGATTAAGACAATTAACCCACCGAGAGAGCCCGCGCCCCGCTAAAACGGCGTTCTAGTCGCCACAATAGCTGTGGCGTAAATCGAGGGGCCCCGGGCCCACCGTAAATTTGGCGATGCGCCATTCCCCTGCCGCAGGAGAAGAGGGAATGGCCCTGCCCAGGGTTTGTCACGGGGGGGGGGGGGGCGGGGCCAGATGTGGGCGTCGATCTGAAATGATCGGCCCACATTCGACATCCAACGCGGGGCTTGACCCTCCGTGGCCCTCGGCCTCCATCGACACCGGAGCCAGCGGAGCACATCCTTGGAGGACATCCCTGCCTCTGCGCCCTGCCTCCCCCCCCCCCGCCCACTCCCAATGTTCCCAGACAGCTGCCCTCCCTCTTCCACAAACGATACCACACGCACACACACACGCATCAAGGGGTATTGCCAGGCATGGTCTTGGGCATGTCCGGAAGCCCGCACCCCCACCACGACCAAGGTCGAGATACGAACACACAATGAGAGGGGCGTGTATTGGGAAGATGGCCCACTCCTTTGGCCATGCCGGGCAATGTGCCTGGGAACGTACGGGGGAGGGTGCATTTTTGGATGCGACCCGGACAGAGCCCACAGACCGGCCCCACCCGGGGCGCGCCGCGATCGCCCCCCCCCCCCCCCCCCCACCCTTTGCCAGGCATCGCCATCACACCAACTTCACTTGGAAGGCCGGGGGCGAAATGCCCGTGCCGAAGGAGGACGCCTGCGGGAACATGCTGACCATGCCCAGATGCGAGGACCGGCCATCGGCCCCGGCGGGAGTGACACTGGCATCGCGGTCTCGGCCCCAGGCCATCAGCCGGCCACTGGCATACACGGCAAAGAGCCATGCCGCGTCGGCCGAGAAGGTCACCGCCGTCACCGGGTCCGTCAGGGTGGTGGCCGGGCTGGCCGAATCCAAGGCACCGGTGGTCGCGGTGACCAGCCCGGGTGGCGGCAAAACGCGCACCAACGACAGATCCCACGAGGACCGGAGCTGAATGGCACCGGAGGACAAACCCACCGCCACCAGGTTGACATTTAGCCCCTCGGGAGCCGAGCTGATGGCCACGCAGAGGGGCGTCCCTTCGCGGGCCAGGTCCAGGCCGACCTCACCCACGAGGGCCCCATTGACGCTCCACAGGGCAACCATGCCGCCGGAGGCCGGGGGATCCGGCCCAAGCCCCGGAGCCCGGGTTCGCAGCGGCGACTGGAAGGCCGCCGGCGCCGCCGGTGTTGTGGCCGGCCCGGCCCCGGCCCCGGCCCGGGGCCCGGCCATTTGATTGACGAAGGATTCCGGGCAGAGGTCGAGCGCCGCGCGACGGTCAGCCCGGCTGGCCGCCACCGGCGGCCCGGACACCGTAATGATGTCGCCGGTGGTGGGGGAGGCCGTCACAGCCACCATCGGCCCGGGATGCGGGCCGAGGGTCTGTGCACATGTCATGCTATTCAAGTCCCACACAAAGCAAGTCCGGTCGATGGGTCCACCTCCACTGAGGACAAAGCTGAACTCCGAGCAGACACTTGAGGCACCGGCCGGCACCGGGGGGGGGGGGGGAAAGCAGCGGCACATGTTAGTTCACTGGCCAAACCCATGTCCCCCTCCCCCCGAGGGGGAAACACGCGACACACGGAGGGGAAATAGAGAGAGAGAGAGAAGCAGGCCAAATAGGATTGACGTACTGCACGCAGGTCACCGCGTCCACATGCCCCGATAGGGGGACCTTGCGGTGGAGGATTTGCAATGGTGGCGCAGGGCGCGTCCGGGCCGCCTCCACCAGCGTGCTGACCACGGCATTCGTGGCACGCGGCGGGTGCCCAGTTACATCCCACACGGTGACCACGCCGCAAGTGCTGCCGGTGGCCAGAATGTGCCCCGGCCGGGAGGCCGCCGCGCAGGTGAAGTCATCATCATCCATCAGCGGCGGCCACAGGGCCGGGCAGGAGGGCACCCCGACGGCCGCGGCCTCCGCCGCTTGGATCACCGCCGTCTCGGCCTCGTCCACCAGCACCCGCACGCGCAGGCTGTCCGGCGACACCATCGGCCGAGAGGCCGCCGCCACGCCACTGACCCCGGCTCCGGGTGGCATGGCTTGGAAGAAGTCCTCCACCATGCTCCCCGGGCCGCCGGGCATCGGCACCAGTGGGAAGACCTTGGCCCTGGAACCGATACCAGCACCGGAGCCAGCACCGCCGCCCGCACCCCCGCCGATGGTCAGCGGCGATGAGGGATGCGACGACCCGGCAAAGAGCCCAAGCCCGGCCCCGGGGCCGGCTGTCATCAGTGAAGCCGCCGACGTCGAGGGTCCAAGGGACCCGGTGCCCGAGCTCCAGGACAGCCTCGGGACCTGCGACTGCGAGTGCGACGGCTGGTGGTGGGGGCCATACCCGATGGGCGAGCTCAGGGACAGGGTGCTGGGCGACTGACCAAGCGACCCCGGGACCGGGGGCGGCGGCGTGCCCACCGTCATGCCCAGCCCCCCGGTGGCGTAGTAGCTGCCCCGGTGCGAGGAGGCCACCGACGGCCGCCGGCTGCTGACCATGCTGGCGCTGCCGCCGGTGGTCGCTCGATCGCTGGCGGCCAGGGCCGCGGCCGCCAGAGTCACCGCCGCCGGCGGAAGATCCGACAGGGTGGCCATGAAGGCCAAGTCCACCTGGGTATTGGGCGAGTACTTGGACAGGGCATGTGCCACGCGGAGGTCGGCCGTGGTTTGCCGTGCCACCGCCGTGGCCGCATCCGTGGCCCGCTGCACGCGCGCATGGCCGCGAGATTGGTGCCAGGAAACCACACACGGCTCCCGGGCACCGGCCGCCCGGCCGCCGAGGCCCATGCCCATGCCCAGGGGCGAAGACCCGGCGGCCACCGGCAGCGCCGGCAGCATCGCCCGGCCAGGCCCCAAAACATACAGCGTCTGCGCCGCATCATGGTACCAAAGCTGGGCAAAGTGCAGCCCCCCGGCTCCGGGCGCCGCGAAGGGCAACTGCAGGGTCAGCCCACCGGCACGCGCGGCCGGCAGGCCGACCCCCCCGAGGGTCCCCCGGCCGTGGACCTGCTCCAGCAGCAGGCCGAAGAGGGCTTGCTCCTCGGAGCCCAGGTGCTCCAGACGCAAAGCCAGCAAGTCACGCTCCCATGCCGGGCGAATGCTGACCCAGGTATTGCCCACTGCCGAGCACAGGGGCGCCACATCGGGATGCGTGCGACCCGGATGCCGGCTGGTGAACAACTGGGCCGGGGTCTGGCCGTAGCTGGAAATTTGGGTGATCACCGCCGCCCGTTGCGTCGGGTCCGAAATGGCATCGATGTCCACGCTGCCCTCATAGGTCAATGGGTGGAAGGTGTTCAGCGCGGCCACCGCCTCCGGGCCGGTTTGCTTGTAGCCAAAGATCAAGTCAATCCAGTGGGCCAGGCTGGCCGACACCAGCGGCGACTCGAGGGCTGCCCGTTGCTGCCGGACAAAAAGACGCGCATCATGCCGCGCATACGGCGGCAGGAGGACATCGCTGACACGCTGCTCATCCTGCTTGATGCCCAGATCATAGCGGTTGGTGTTGATCAGGAACTCCGGCATGAAGAAGAACTCCGGGATCAGCTCCTTGACATCGGTGCTGGAATACCGGCTGGAAAGGTGCCACGTTTGCTCGACCGAGTGGAAGGTCCGGTCCGGGATGTCGAAGCGCCCATCCTGGAAGTTCAGGAACAGGTGGGTGAAGGGCTCCAAGCGAACCAAGAAGTGCAAAACAATCCCGGCATTGGAGTAGTGCGAGCCATAGTGGTACGGCACCACCGGGCCCAGGCCCACGGTGAAGTCCCCGGGATTGGCCATGTGCTCTTCCTCCTGGGCCATGTCCTCCAGCTGCTGGTACTTGCGCACAAAGCGCTCCAGCCGGTCGGGACTTTGGGCACCCATGGGCCGGGTCAAGTCGCGGAAGGTTTCCCGCCGGGTCAAATCCAGCCGCGAGCTGGTGTAGTCCGCCAGGATGAACGGGAAGATCGGATACTGGGACAAATCATTGAAGGTCCGCCCGGCCAGCGTGTTCAAGTGCATCAGGTAGTCGAAGTTGCTCAGCTGGCCGGCGGCCCACTGCCGGCTCAGATGCTTCAAGCGGGGGGGCTCCCGCGGGCCGGGAGGAGCGGCCCCGGTGTGACCGCCCGGCCCGGCCGGGCCAGCCAGCCCCCCATGGCCGCCACCGTGACTGGCACTGGCAGCATGCCGGGCGGCATCGGCCCCGCGCTGGGAAACATGCTCCAGCAGCAGGCGATCCACCTCGTCCCGGCTTTCCCGCGACCGGAAGGTCACCAGGTAGGTCTTGCCATTTTGCATGAAAATCTCCAGCCCATTGTTCTTCAGCTGATACCGGCGCCGGTAGATGGCGCTCACCCCGGCCAAGGGCAGGGAAAAGTGCCCATCATAGCGCCGCGCATCGAAGCGCTTGTTCTCCGGGAAGTGGCTGGGCCCGCGTGGTGACTTGGCCCCGGGCCCCCGGCGTGCATGGGACGCCACCGCCTCGCCATCCCCATGACCATCATCCGAGCCATCCTCCGAGAATGCGGGCTCCGGCACGAACACCAGGAACTTCTGGCGAATCAGCAGCTCGCCGGTAATCTGACTGAAGGGGGTGATCCGCTCGCAGGGCAGCGGGCCGAAGATCACATTCTCCAGGGACATGCCCATGATGGCATACGGCGAGGCGGCCGAAGCGTGCACAAAGTCCCGGTCCCCGGTGGCCGCATGCCCGGCCGGGGTGCCGGGACCGGTGGCCAGGTCCGTCGGAGTCTTGGCCAGGACCACCGTGTCGACATCCTCGCCGAGGACCGCCAGACTTGCCACCGGCAGGCCGGAGTCCACGTCCACCGGTTCCGGGGGGATGCGCAAGCGCGCGCGCACGCGCAACGCCTCGATCAGCTCCTCCAGCAGGATGGTCCGCGAAGAGGGGACCAGCACCGGGGCGCACAGGTGGCGGACGGTTGGCTGGCCATCCGGGCCCGGGCCCACGGCCACCGGCAGGTCCTTGGTGATGGGAGGCAGGACTTCGGCCACCGGGTCACCGGCGGGGGCCGCAGCGCCGGCCAATCCCAAAGACGAGGGGGCCGGCATGATGACGGCCGCCGCATCGTCCTCCTGGCCGGAATCCTCCTCGGCGGTGATGGAAGCCACCGCGTGCGACACGGAATGTGCCTCGGCCAGGGAAATCCGCGTCACCAGGAAGGGGAAGTCCCGGTTGCTCGGGCGAATGCGTGCCCGCACCCGTGATGGCCCCTCGGTCCGATCAAGCATCCACTGGTACATGCCGACCGGGGCCGGGAGGGTGCTCGGGACCCGGGGATCCGGGTCATAGTGCGGCAGGGCGGCGATCTGTTCCTGCGTGGGCACCGTGGCGAAGGGCGACCGAGGGCTGGCCATGCGCTCAGCCACACGACCCCAAGTGACCATGACAAGGTGGTCCACCTGGTTGGCCTGCTGGGCCCGGCGCATGGCCGGCATCAGGGAGCTTGTCGTGTGCTCCATGTGGTCGTTGATGAAGCGTGTCCGGCGGAGGGACAGCTCCGGCCGCTTGAGGCTCGACGCATGGAGCACCTGATCCCGAAGCATGAGGCTATCGGCGCGGGCAGGGGACATGGTGGCGGCCGCCGGTGTGTCAGATCAGGAAGGGGACGAGAGAAAGGGAGCCCCCAATGGGCCTGGGCAGCGGGAAGAAAGAAAAAAAAAAAAAGAAGCAGAAAAGATGCCAGTGCAACAAATCGCGCCGCCCCCTCCTCCCCGTATGCCCACGCCCCTCCCCATCCCCCTCTCGGGGCCTTTGGGGGTGGTTCGGTGTCCTGGACACACGGCGCGCACCTGTCCTCGGCACACTTGGCCACCTTGGCACGCATGGCCTCGTCTTCCTTCTGGAAGTCGGCCCGGATCTTGAGCGTGAAGAAGTCCCGCACCGAGAGGGCGGCATCGGGCTGATTCAGCGGGGTGAAATTCCGCACAAAGAGGGCGGCCATGTCCTGCGACGACTGTGTTGGCAGGTTCATCAGTGGAATGGAGATGTCGGCCTTGGTCGAGGACTGGAGAACATGCCGGAAGAGGGCCATGGCGCTGCTGGCGATGTAGGCCTCCTCCGAGTCGAACATCAGGCTCAGCAGGAAGAGCATCATCTGCCGGAACTGGACATTTGAAATGAGCGGCCCGATGACGGTCTTGTTGTTGAGCAGCAGCCGCAGGGCCGTCTTGTGGACCTGCCGACTGCGGTTTGGCATCAGCAGGTAGATGAGCAGGTGCGTCTGCGGGAGGGGCACATTGCACACGGTCGGAGTGATGGGACTGTCAGAGGAAGAGGAAAAACGCACGCAGCGCGCGCACACACACATACACACACACACACACACACGCAGCACACACGCAGCACACACGCAGCACACACGCAGCACACACAGCGCACACACAGCGCACACACAGCGCACACACAGCGCACACACAGCGCACACACAGCGCACACACAGCGCACACACA